TCTGCAGCCTTTCCAGTAAGGAAATTGTTCTTTTGACCAACCACCAGCAAAAAGGGACAAAGATGAGACCCCCAGTGACTTCTAGCTCGACATGACCTCATTCCCTCATGATGTCCCCTGTCCAAGCAGGGGCTGGTGCTATCAGTGGGGATGAATGTGTGTGCAGAGGTTGTGGACCTCGCTCTGGGTCCCCGTGGTGGAGCAGGCTGAGAAGTGGCATTTGTGGCAAACCCAGGGAGAAGTTGGCATCTATCTCCTGGCAGGGCTTTTCTGCCAGCAGCAGTGGCTGGGGGTGTCCATGCCAGGGCACTCCCAGAGCTGCTGCAGAGCTCTGACACACTTTGGGAGCACCAGGCACCCAAGGAACATCTCGGAAGCTGCAGCCTCGTGGACGGCGCTTCCCCTTCTGCGGTTTCATCTCCTTTTCCAGCTCAGCAAAAATTGGGTGGTCCTGACATAATTTTCTCAGTATTATGCCATCACTTTCCTTCTTTGGAACCCTGCACCCGCCCCTCGGATGGGGATAAAATGGGAGCACAGCCCCAGGGCCACAGCAAGATTCCTGCAGCCTCCCCAGCTCCAGCGCCTCTCACAGAACCCGCAGCACCATGAAGGTCCTGGCAGCCACCCTGGCCACTCTGCTCCTCCTGGCCTCCTGCTCCTCAGCTGAGGGTCACCTTGGTGAGTCCAGCATGGCTGTGTCCTCCTGGAGGGTCCCTGCCCTGGCAGGGTGGCTCTGGGGAGGGTGGGGGGTCCGTGTCACGCTGGGGGTGCAGGTTTGGAGCTGGGAGGGGGTTCTGGCAGGGGATGTGGAAATCCCTGGAGGGGGCAGAGGCTGTGCTGGGCTCTCACCAGGGCCGTGTGTGTGTCCCCTGCCCTCACAGATGGTGTCCCCAGCATCTGCTGCTTCAGCTACCAGAAGCAGCCCATCCCTCGGCGCCGCGTCAGCTCCGTCTTCGTCACCAGCAGCTCCTGCAGCCAGCCGGGCGTGATGTGAGTACCC